CGCTGCCTGGAGACAGACTCCTCAAAAAATCATTACTCGGGACATTTGAGAATTCGCTTATTAACTGTAGGCATCTCGCTCACCGAGAGCCAAATTAACAACAGACTCCTGCCTCGCTGCATGTGTCACCGCAGATCTACAGCGCGCTTCGCTAGCCTCGTAGAGGTTTCTTCAAACGCAGATATAAATAGTTGTGGAGGTGGCCGTCCACATGAGGATCCTGACAGTTTGACGTTCTGTAGGTGATTCTTTATTTTCCCCTTCCTGACCAACAGCACCTGCCACCACAGTGAGCCCAGGAGTGGGTTCTCCAGGGGTTCATTTTCAGACGTTACGGCTCATCGTGGTCCCTGAATTCAGGAGTTCTCCTTGTGTGAGGCCAACAACTTTGACTCTGATTAAAATATTACTATTAAGCACTTGCAGTCACCTTTGTATGTCTGTTAGCAAAATCCTTAATGAAGAAGCATTAAGAGGATTTGAACAGTGAATGTTTGTAGTTTTCGGAGTGTTTTTCTGGAATGGAGCAGAACAGAGAATGTACCGTATTTTTCGGACTATAAGACGCATCAAGCAAAACAAAACAGTCAGATAAGTCAAACTTTATTCAACTCATTCACAGTAACTCTCAACATTGTTCCACATAAAATCAGTTCGAGGTCAGTAAGCACAACCAGAATTAATACATAAGGCTCACTGTCGATTTTTGAGAAAATTAAAGGATTTTAAGATTTATAGTCCGATAAATACGGTAAGTAAGCTTTAATGATTTTGGTGCCAAGTACTCGAGTGAATAGGAGTCACACTGTGTAGAAGAACAGAGGTAGTTTTTTTTTTGTTTTTGGGTGAGCAATATTATCCACCACCAGGTGCAATGGCAGAGATGGGGGAGGGGGGGACAACGGTGGCCTTGGCCACAACAGATACATTTTTGTCTACCCCAAGCGCCACCCCATTCATGAAAGGATAGACTTTTTTATGCCTAGCTTCACCTACGCACTAAAATAGAAGTCAGTACGTTGCTTATTTTTCAAATGATCAAACTCCCACAGTTTACATAAATACATATAGCAGGGCAGCCATCTTGGATTTTGATTTGGCAACTCAATTTTCAAAAAGAACCTTCCTTACACCTAGATGTAGCCACACATCAAGATGGAAGTCGGTACCTATAGGGGGCAGTCGTGCCTGACTGGTTATTATACCAGTCGCCCTCCAATAGGAGAGTTGGGGGTTCGATTCCACCAGCAGTCACATGTTGAAGTGTCCCTGGGCAAGACACTGAACTCCTCATTGCCTCCGATGTGTGTCCCATCAGTGTATGAATGTGATCTAAAGCTCTGATTAATCCTTGTAGAGATCTAGTAGAGTGCTGTATGAATGGGTAAATGAGGCACAGATTGTGTTGTAAAGAGCTTTCAGTGTCTTGGTAAGATAGAATGGCGTTATATAAATACAGTCTATTTACCATTTACCTGACTTATGTTTCAAGTTATCATGCTCACAACATGCACTGACAGACGGAAGGAGGGATGGACGTAAGCTTTTTCTAATTTACTCAGTGATGGGGGACAACCGCAAGACGGACTTTGAAGAAACCTTTAGAATGTAATCACTGGACGTCCATCTGCAACTGATTGACATTTGAGGTCAACCTAATTCAAGATGGCAGCCAGAGCCAATTGACCTTAAAAAACAGCTTCAACATCCAAACATGAGCCAAATGTACTAAACTGGACTAAAACTGGGGGTGGTCGTAGCTTGAAGTCATTCCCAACACATACCCCAAGGGCTTCTCATTGTGTGAGATCCTTACTTCAAACTTCAGTTTTAACTACTGGAGTCTAACTAAACTTTGGTTGTGGTAGTAGCTGAGAGTCATCCCAACACATTCTCTGAGTGACATGCATATCACACATTCGAGGTTTGACCATAACATAAACATCTCTGTCATTTATCAACACAAGGCGATCCTGGCTTAAACCTGTGACATGGGGCAGGGTGGGTGATGTGCACGCCTTCCTTTAATTTCTTTATAGCCAAGACATAAAATGGGCCCCCGGTGGTGTGTGTACAAATCACAGAGGGTTCATGGACTAACACCTTCTCCAGCCAGGGTGTGTAAATCAAAGACAGGGTAGGAAAATAGGAATTTAATAAAGAAGAAAACGCAAAGAATGTGTGAAATCAGCAGTTTTAATACAGAGTTTTATTACTGCTCTGGATTCTTTATGGGCTGTTCTTGATTTTTTTTATTCATTTTTATTTGAGCTATTACTGCCCTCTCTGAGTCGTTAACATTACACATTTAGTAGTGGAACCAATTATCCAGCGATCAAACAGTCCCAAAGGAAACACTTCTTCTCAGTGGGTGCAGAAGTCCCCCGCCCACCCCTGAATGTCTCCAACTCTTCTAACATGTGAATATTTCCTCAGCTGAGCACAAAGCAGGAATCCGTCTGAGGTCTGTGATTCACATCGTAGCTGCGTGAGTCAGAGTCGGAGCGTAGAGTACCGCCGGCAGAGGCAGCACACGGTCAACGGTTCACCTGCGCCAAAGCTATGGTCCAGCAGTTCAGGTGCACGACTCCAAGTCGAGCCTCGACTACACAACAACAGTTTTAGGAACCTCTTTTTGAACATGGGTTCCAGAGTGACAAACCCTTCAAATGCTACTGTTGCATTTATTGATTGATTTCCTTTTTTTTTTTTTTGAGACAGCTTTAACAACATTTGAAAACAGCGTGGCACAGTTGGTAGAGCTGTTGCCTCTCAGCGAGAAGGTTGCGGGATCAATTCCCAACCTTGGATGGATCAGCGTGAGGGAAACGGAGCGCTACTTCTGTAGCTTTTTTAACTAGCGCGTCTGTTTTGCGCGCCACTAGCTTAGCGCTACGTCAGTGCCAGTAGGCAGGGCGCTCGGATCGGTTGACAGGATGGTGCGCCCTCCATGGATAATGGTCGGGGGAACACTGGGATGGATGATGTCATAATCCTGCCTCTGATTTAACCCACGAATAAGCCACAATCGTAACAACAACTGACTTTTTACAAATACTTTGCATGTTGTTACGAAGAGCACCCTGTGCCCAAATACATTCTCAGCTACTTCCTGTAGCTATGGTGGAATTTATTGGTAGGACACCTGTTTTTTTTAAGATGACACATCAAACTAAAGAATAATTTCTAATTTATTCTTGTGTGTGTAGCTCAAGTTCTTGTTTCCTGTTCCTGATGTTAGTGGCAATGTTACAGCGCCACACACAGGCCTGGCGTAGTTACTACAACATTTACAGTTTTCCGCATTTCCATGTGGATGAAAGCATTTTTAAAAAACGGTTCAGTTTTTACGTTTTTGTTACATTAAAAAACTACACCAAGTGAAAGAGGTTCCTGTGTGAACAAGGCCTCTGTGTCTGGTACGTTAAGGTTTTGAGTCGGCAAATTACTAATTGAGCAGTAACGTGTAAGAGCTGCGTTAAAGGTGGCGCTAGCTTGGGAGTTACTACCAGGGTGGGGTGTAGCTACAAGGCAGTGACGCTAAATCAATCACTCCTGGGGTGCTGCTGCTGAAGGAGACACTCAGTAGGTAGTCATGGCTGCAGCTCCATAATTGAATTTAAATAAGGCATTCTGATACAACAAAGCTTTAATTAGCTGCTCGACTAATATTCACCCGTTCATTAGCACTGGAGACAATTACACGTGTGCAAATTGCATGCTAAGGTTAACTGTTTTACTAGTTTAATCAGGAGATAAGAGCCTGGCTGCACAGAAAGAAAATGTCATGAAAGCAGAGCAATAATAAAAGCGGTTTGTGAATTATTTTGCTAACAAGCAGACGCACGGGAGAAACATTACTGCCCTTGGCTGATAGTGATGTCAGCTCTCTCTGGGTTTATGCTCAGTCCTCCTATGGTTCCATACCCCAACACGGGAAAATAAAAAAAATACAAGCACATCATCTTGATTAGAATTTCCCAAAGATAAAGCAGCCCCTGCTGACACCCCCCACCCCCACCCCCGGTAATGTTGTCTGGAGGAAAAGCCTCTGTGGGCGAGCATCTTTGTGTTGGACTGAGCATCGTGGAGTAATAACCGGATTATTGTAACGGCACAACGAGAGACAAAAGGATGCACGTGTGAGGAGGCTGAGCCTGGCTCTGGGTGTCCGTCGGACGGCGGCGAGGGAGGGGGGGTTGTACGTGTCGCCTCGGAGCACCTAGAGCATCGACTCGTCGCGTGCACGAGTCCACGCTCGCCGACTGGGAGGGTGGCTGCTGAAGATGCTGAGCAAAAGCCTGGCAGACATGGTGACATCATCCCTGAACACCCCCCACCCCCCCAAACCACCACCTTCCTTCACACCACCCTCCTGCAGTCAGGATACCAGGAGGCTGTGGGTGAGACTGGGGGAGATATGATTGTGTTTTAATCTAACAGGTATCTCTGGGAAAATACAACCATCCTCTCCTCCTGTCACCATGGCAACTACAGCTGTGACTGTCAGTAGCCAATAATTAGCCTACCTGGCACCTTACAGTGGATGGAGGGAGGGGGGCGGGAGGAGAGGGGTTGGCATCTGGGGGAGGAGGGGGGGAGCAGCGCCGGTCAATCACTGTCATTCTCCTCACGTCCTCACCACTGCACGCGGGGCTTCGGTCACGTGCGGAAAGGTCATCATTTAGAGGCGGGTGCGCGCGCGGTCCTCCGCTGCTGATCGGCACGGGAGGCTCGCGCCTCACATATTCGTACAGCGCGCGCGCATTCATCGCAAAAATAATTTAAAAAAGAGAAGGGTGACAGTGCTAGACAGGGAAGGACACACGCGTACGCGCGCACATCTGCGTGCGCGCGCCTAAAGGTGATCCATCGCTGCGGCGCCTGTTAGTAAGAATGAAATCTCGTCCCAGTCCTGTTGTGTCCACACCAGAACCGGACTCACTTCAACCTCCGTGCTCGTCAGCGCATACATGAGAAAGAGACAAACTGCTTCTTACCAGAGTGAAAACTGAGCGCCAAACTCAGGAGCAGCAGCCTCTGCATGGTTGGTTCAGCCGACCAGCGAGTCCGTTCTGGGCTCAGACCTCCGTGAGGACAGCATCAAAGAGCGACACTTTTACTGACTTCACTGAAAACGGACTCAAACACCCACAATCCTCCCCTTCGGCCCTGGTTCGGCTTCGGCTCGCTCGCTTTTACACCATTTTGCTGTTTTTCGCCCCGTCTCTTTCTTCTTTACCTCGCTCCTCTTCTTCTCTCCTCAGCTACGGTCAGTTTTCTTCAAACGGCGGCAAGCGCGCGGCAGTTATACCCGGAACTTCCGGTTCTGCTCTTCAAAATAAAATATATATTTTTAATATGGGTTTCACATCAATAAAAAGATTGATCTAAAATAAACAATACAAGAAAAATTGAGTACAGATTTGTTGTCATGATTGTTACATTTTATAATATCAGAGTAAAAGATGGATGAAAATTTTGCAGCGGCAGTTTGTGTTTTTGTTTTTATTTATTTTTGTAAATACTGATTGAACATTCATACTTTTGTTTTCCTCTTTTTGTGGTCATGATGTTTGTTTGTTTTCTCTGCGGTTTTAGTCATTCATTCATCAAAACAATCAGTTTCAATTCAGTTTATTTATAGAGCACCAAGTCACACAGAAGTTGGACCCCCTGATAATAAACCATTGCTATAGTCCAGTCTAGACGGGATAAATACGTGGACCAGTTCATTTATCAGCTCATTCATGATATGGATGTTTATTTTTTGTAAATGTCAGATTTTTATATTTCTTTTTTTTTATATTTTGTTTACAAACTTTATAGCTGTTCTTCTGTTACTGTTATCTTTTTGCTAGCCTCTTGCTATACTTTAGCTTTTAGTTAATACTTGATACCTTTGGCAAGCATTTTACTACTTTCAGCTAGTGTTTTACAACTTTGAGCTTTTAGTTTAACTGTTACTGTCAGTTTCTAAGTAGCATTTTGATGATGTTGCTAGGCTTTTTTTTTGTTGTAACTAACCATTTAACCTTGACTTTTAACTTTTACTGCTTTTAAATTAGCATTTTCCTTTTTTTAGGCTTTTAGCTAGCCTTTTGCTACTTACCATACCATACCAATTTATTTATAGAGCACTTAAAACAGCAACAAGGCCAACCAAAGTGCTGTACAAAAGAAAACAAACATGCACAGCGGACAGGAAAACATAAAATAAAAATACAGATACAAATAGCAGCAGAAGCTAGCTAAAATGGCCAACAGTGTAGAGTACAGACAGGACCAAACAAATCACACCGTGTTAAAGGCCAGAGAATAGAAGTGGGTCTTCAAGCGAGACTTAAAGACTGAGAGTGTGAGAGCCTGCCGGACACTCAGTGGCAACTCATTCCACAGTCGTGGACCTGCAACAGAGAAAGCCCTGTCACCTCTGAGCTTACGACGGGTTTCTGGGACTGAGAGAAGCATCTGGTCTGCTGACCTCAGAGAGCGCAGTGGGACATATGGCTGCAGAAGATCAGTGAGATAGGATGGGGCAGAACTGTTCAGTGATTTAAAAACATACATGAGAATTTTGAATTGGATCCGAAGGTGAATGGGTAGCCAATGCAGGGAGGCCAAAACTGGCGTGATGTGCTCTCTATAGCCTGTACCAGTTAAAAATCGGGCTGCAGCATTTTGGACCAGTTGTAGACGAGCAATGGAGGACTGACTGATTACAAACAGAAGTGAATTGCAGTAATCAAGCCTAGATGTTATGAAGGCGTGGATCACTGTCTCAGGGTTCTTTTTGGAGAGTATAGGCTTCAGCTTAGACAGCCGTCTCAGCTGAAAAAAACAGGATTTGACCATCATGTTTACGTGACTGTTGAGTTTTAAGGACGGGTCCATTATCACCCCCAGATTGGTGACCTTTTGTGTCTCTAGCGGGGCTAGAGAGTAAAGGTCAATCTCATGGTTCATGAGTGAGCCACTGGGATGGAACAGCATGACTTCAGACTTCTTCTCATTGAAGCTTAAGAAGTTTAAAGCCATCCAGTCCCAGATGTCAGCCAGGCAGTCAAGAAGAGGCTGAATAGAGCGTGTGCCTCTGTGCCTCAGGGGGAAGTAAATTTGGCAATCATCGGCGTAGAAATGAAAGGGTATGTTGTGTTTGCGGAAAATAGCACCTAGTGGCAGCAGGTATAAAGAAAAGAGAAGGGGACCGAGGATGGACCCCTGCGGTACCCCCCACTGGAGCGCTGTCGATGCTGAACTAAAATCTTTGATTACTTTGAACTTCTATCTGTTGTTTTGGTGCCAATAGATTTAAGCCAGCTTTTTATAACTTTTATCTTTTTGTTTTCTTAGTTTTAGCTAGCATTTTACCATTTTTAAATTTCAGCTAGCATTTAGCTTTTGTAAATGTTTTGCTAGTGTTCTGCTTTGTTTGTTAGCTTTTAGCTAGTGTTCGTCGTCATTTAGCTAGTGCTCTGCTTTGGTTAGCTTTTAGCTAGTGTTCGTCGTCATTTAGCTAGTGCTCTGCTTTGGTTAGCTTTTAGCTATTGTTCAGTGGTTTAGCTGTAGAGTTTACACAGCATGTTCACAATAAACAGTTTGTCGTCTTGTTTACAGCTCAGATACAAATCTATACTTCTGTTGTTTTGTGATTGGAGAGATAAACAGTAAAACATTATAAAAATGAAATAATAGATATGATAAAATTATAACAAAATATAATAAACATGACAAAATAATAAAATGGAATTATCTTATAAGAATTATGAATCACAAAATGTAAACATTGATATTTCTATTTCTTTAATAGAATTAGTAAAACTGTTTTGAAAAATATTTCACATTTTTACAAAAGCCTGTGCAGTGACACGATGAAAATGACATAAATGTATACATTTAAAACATGAGCAACAAAAGAAGACGAGTACATAAAGCTAGTCAAATGCAACCATGTTCTACTTCCGGTTTGTCCTCTATGTTTTTTTATCTGACGTCATTTTTTCATTAGAGACACATTCCTCTGGCCTACACACAGCTCCGCCCCCTTTTTACTCCGTGCTTTGAAAAGAAACGTTATCATTATTGTTTTATTTATTTATTTACTAGTATTATGATTATTAGTAGTAAAATCCGCAAAAGTTTAAAATCACTTTAGGTACCATGACCTTTTGAAACTATTTCCTTTTGTTTTGCAGATCACGTTGTGACATTAGGCAGTAATTGAAGTTTAACATGATAAAAATATATAAATCTGGTGTTTGAACAAACTCATGTAATCCGATGTATTTTCAGCTCCGTTCACTCTGTGAACTGACTTCAGTGAACTGGAGAAGCAGCAACACAACAACAAGCAACAACAATAAAAACAAAATGTGATGTGGATTAGCAGGGCAGTGACGTCACTGGGATGAAGAATCACGAGCACGTGATATAAAACAGAGTTTGTCCTCCTTCCAGAGGTGATGTGATGAATGTCCCTGTAGCTGTTAGAGCTGCACTGGTATTGGAGCGCCCCCTGGCGTCCAGGTCCATCAACAGCCACCTGGTGATCGGGCATCTACACCTTCTTTAGTAAACACTTATATGCTGTTTTTATCCATCAAACCGCTGTACAACACTGATAAATACTTTTATTTTTCTTTATTAGAGGCATCAGGACAGAGTTTTACTACATCATCACCACTGTTAGATTTAGTTCAAGTTTAGTGGTACATGAGGTTGGAACGAAATTGTATACTCAAGGTCCCAGTTACACCCAAAAATAGCAAAAATATAACATTTAAAAAGAAACAATATATAGGGTTCTAAGATATACACTAAACACTAATAATTTAAAATAATACAGTATAAACCAGCCACTGGGGAGCACAACAGTGTATCTCTTGTTCCAGTCCCAAGCCAGGGTAAATGGTGAGGTTGTGTCAGGAAGGACATCTGATGTAAAACACTTTTTTGCCAAAACTATAATGTGAGTTCATCAAAGTGAGAAATGAAGAAATGAAGATGTTGAGGTTCTCCTTAGGAGTGACAAGGATGGATAAGATTAGGAATGAGATCATCAGAGGTACAGCACAGGTTGAACAACTGGGAGATAAAGTTAGAGAGGCCAGACTGAGATGGTTTGGACATGTCCAGAGGAAGGACCGTGGGTGTATTGGTAGAAGGATGTTAGAAATGCAGCTGCCAGGAAAAAGACAAAGAGGAGATGTATGGATGCAGTTAGAGAGGACATGGAGGTAGTTGGAGTGAGGACAGAGAGAAATGGAGGAGGATGACTCGCTGTGGAGACCCCTGAAGAGAGAAAAGCTGAAGGAAGAAGAAGAAGAAGAAACTGAATATTAAACAGCAGCCCAAACAAGCAACTTTTATAATAATAATCATCATCATTTTATTTAAAAAGACCCTTTCAGGACACTGAAGGACACTTTACAGTAAGAAACATATCAGAAAGGTTGTGTGAAAACAAACAACAAGCACAGTGCAAAGATCAACAGGAATTAATTAAAATATAAAATACATACAGAATATAAAATGCATAAAGAATATAAAATACATTCAGCAAAGTTAAGGATAAGCGAGTCTAAAGAGATGTGTTTTCAGAGCAGTCTTGAATAGAGAAAGAGAGGTGGTGTTTCTTAAGTCAGGGGGTAGAGAGTTCCAGAGATGAGGGGCAGAGCAGGTGAAGGCCCTGCTCCCCATGGTGGAGAGGCGGGCAGAGGGTACATGGAGGTGTAGTGAAGAGGAGAATCTGAGAGAGCGAGAAGGGATGGAGATGTGTAGGAGGTCAGACAGGTAAGGAGGGGCAAGGTTGTGGATAGCTTTGAAAGTGAGAAGAAGAATTTTGAAGACTATGCGTGATTTAACCGGGAGCCAGTGGAGCTGCTGCAGGACAGGAGTGATGTGGTTATAGGAGGAGGTTTGAGTTATGACACGGGCAGCTGAGTTCTGGACCAATTGTAGCTTCTGAAGAGATTTGTTGGGGAGGCCATAAAGAAGGGAGTTGCAGTAGTTAATCCGAGAAGTCACAAGACTGTGCACAAGGATGGCTGTGGAGCGGGG